GAAGCAGAAGTCAACGCACGGTCCCACGGCACCTCATCGAAACATTTGGCGATGCCCACGATGGCATGCAAAGAGGCATGTTCATCACCTGTAGGCGGTGGTCCAGCCTCGCTCTGGACTAGAACTCTGGCTGCTACATCCGTGGTAGATCTCTGCACCCCAAGGGCGATGTATGGCCTGTTCAGTTGCGAGGCCCATGTCCGCACCCAAGACAACCGCGCCTTAGACCTGAACCTGTAGACCACGGCCAATAAAGCGATAGGCCTGTAGCCGCGAGCAGCGCCACATGCGCCGCCCGAAAGATATCTGGCCAGTTCCCAAAGACTTCACAGAGATGCAGCAGATACCCGAGAGCAGCCAAAGCCCCATTAGATACATAAGCCCAATGGCGAGGCCTAAATCGATCGGCCCCTATGTCCGTGCGTCGCGGAAATTGATGCGCAGCAGCGCGTAGTTGGGATATCTGGAGCGGCGGGGGCCTAGGGCCACTCTCGCAGAGGTGCCTCATCTCATGGATGTTCCCATCAGAGAACCCGTCCTGAAAGAGACTCCCGCAGAGGGCGGGGTCCTCATGATCCCGAGCTTCCCAGATGTTTGCCCAGGCGTCCCGCTGAGATTCGACGACGTCGCCTTGCAAGCTAGTTGGCCCGAGGGAAGTATCAACGCGGGAGAGGAGCCACCCGCGAGGCTTGGTCCAGCGATGGACAGGTCCAGGCTGTGAAGCAAGCTTGGCCCGGATCCATCGACGAAAGGCACGCGATCTAGCTGAGGCCAGTCTGCGCTCCTCCTGTCCCGCCAGTCGACTGAGGTAGAGCCCTACGAATCGCAAATGGTGGTCCCAGAAGTGCTGGAGCTCCCGAAACGTTGAGGCCAGATGGCGCGCACCTCGCGGGGTATTACCTTGCGCAATCGACCATCCCAACGACGAGCCTCATTGAGATCCTGAAGAAAAGACCAGGCCCGAACAAGGGCAACCGCCCCTCGAGGAAGGGCAAGACGAACGTCATGCACGCGGAGCCCGAGGAGCCTGAGCGCCCGAGAGTAGGAGGTGCCCGAAGGTTGATACCTAGCCAGGGCCCCACCCGCCGTCGACTGCCGATACTCAGGGCCTGCTGCACGGCCCAAGTACTTAGACGCCTCAGAAGCCTCCTTGCAAAATATAGGCGCGAGCTCGGTCTCGACACCATCATGCAACTGCCGACTGAGAACGGCAAGCCGGTCATCATGGACACGGGGGTCACCAAACTTCTGCGCTGCATCATCACGCATGAAATGCCCCCAGGACATGACAGGTGCACCCCGCGGACCCTCGAAGGTGATCTCTCCATCCTCATCACGCTCCTCGCAATCCTTCATCTCCTTGACGACAGGGGAGGGCGGGAAAGCCTGTGGTCCTGCCAGCACTGTGACTGCATGCGCGCGGACACCGCCCTGCAGCCAGACCATGATGGCGCAGTGGTTCCTGGGCGGGAATTCCACGACTCGGCGCGGCTCACTGAGCGCAGCGGCAATCGCGTCAGAGGCCATCCAGTAATCAAGAGTGGTCTCACGGCCTGTCTTGGGATCTCTATATGTGCCTTGATCACATGCTGCCAACCAGCCACGAAGCCTGTCGCATAGACCACGGTCACTCAAATCCGAAGGTGGCACGTTCCAGTCCACTGCAAGCATGTATGGTAGCCTATGATATGACAGAAACTCGCCAACCGCAGTGGCCTTGTCATAATTGTGGCTCGAAAGGCCCAATCCTTGCTCCATGTAAAGCGCCACAGCGAGGAACACATGCCTGGGGCCCGCATGGATATGAACTGCAACACAGAAGCCTGGAATGATATCATGCGAGGCCGCACCAGCAGGCACTGTAACACCAACGTGAGGACGTACAAATATACCCACGCCGCCTTTCGAAGATCGAGCCTCACCTGACAGCGCCGCACTCATGAAAGGTTTCCATCCATTCGCAGCGGCCCACTCCTGGGCCCTCAAGAGAGCGTCGCCGCGTAGTTTGTGCTCTTGGATCATGACAACAGTGGCCGTACCAACTGAAGCAAGGATGTCCTTAGCCTGAGGCCAGCCGCTGGAGTTGAAGGTGAAGATAGCGATGCCTTTGTTGGCCCTGGCCGAGGCAGCAGCACCTTTCTTGGCTCGCCTCCATGGTCGGCGCCCAACCGCGGTCAGGGGACGGGCCACGTCAGGAAGAGGCTGCATCAGCGCAGGAGCAACAACAGCATCACCAACCTGCGGGAGTGGGTCAGGTGGCGCCTCCTGAGCGACCAAGTCGATGATCTCGTGTAATCGGGAAGGCGTACATCTGGTGGACGAAGCGCAGGCCAAGGTTCTGCAGTTCCCTGTCTGTTGACGACCTGGACAATCGGAAAGCTCGCCGTAGGACGGAAACTGAAAGATGCAGACTGGGTCGGCGGGCCGCACGTATAGAGGATGTTCGATGGAGCGACTGGCCCACGCTCCAGGCCCTCTTCCGAGGCCGAACCAGGCGCCAGAAGTGCAAGGTCACGCGCGCCGTCTGGGTCGCCACCAGCCTGGCACACATGCCGCGAAGAAGGGGAAGTCGTCACATCAGTTTGTGTTCCTACCAGCCGCCCTGGAACCCCACCTTCATAAGGTGCATGGTAGCCGCCAGCACCTGAGGTGGTTATAGGCCCTTGTGGCTGAAGTGAATCGCCATTGACTGAGGAAGAGGTGTGCCTCGGCTGGCAGTTGAAGACGATGTCGATGCCGAATCGGGCGAACGACATGTCGCCCAAGTCGCTATCCAGGTGGACCATCCCCCGCAGGTCGTTGCTGCGCGCGGCTGGCCAGTGCGGGTGTGGGAAGGGACAGCGGCGTCTTGTTCGAGAGCATCATCCCAGGGGGGAACTCCGTCTGGCACGCCACCAGCGCGATCATGAGCAGGAGGGGCGGGCGGAGGCGCGTCCTGGCCAGCAGCGAGCCGCCCCTGCGCAGCCAGAGCCCTCTGAAGGGCGGCCATGTGGGTGCTGAGCGAGGCCAGCATGGCGGCTGCATTGCCAGCCCCGACCGCAGCAGGTGCAGCTGCCACCACTCCCTGCAGCCGCCCAGACGCCTGCTCAAGCTCGAGGGCATCAGGTCCTGCAGGCGGGGTCTGCGCGGCTGCCATGACTGCCGCACGCGCCGACGCGACCTCCAGCTGGATACTGGGGAGCTCCTGGGCTGCAGTCTCCAACTCCGCCTTCCTGGCGCACAGGTCATCGCTGAGCGTCTTGACATGACTGGCGAGGGTATCATGTTCTTTTTGTTTCGCAGCCAAGCGATCCAGAGCACGGCGAAGCATGTCATCTGGCGTAAGGGTCGAGCGCTGCCGTTGCTCGGCCTCCGCCAGCTGCTTGCGCGCACTGCGCGCCAGGTCCGACTGCTCGTCCAGCTGCAGCCTGCGCAGCGCTGCCAATGCACGTCGCGCGGTGGTGACCTCGTCCACCTCTGCGGGGGCAGGCTGTGCTGGCCCACCTGCGTCGTCGCTGGCTGCTGCACTGCGTCGACCAACTGACGAGGAGCGCTGGCGGCGGGCTCCAGGCGGGGTGGCTCGACTAGGATCTGGCCTCCCCTGTTTGTCCCGCCCGCATGCCCAACGACGAGGATTGTTAAGATAGTTGCGCGTAAAAAAAACGCACTGACGAGTGGCAATGCACGCCCATCTCCCCGACGGTGCTTGGCTCTTGGCATCATCATCCCGAGTACGGGCAGAACTCTTGCCCATAGAGCGCGCTGGCACTCTCGACCCGTGATGCACGTCCAGGAGCAAGGAAGCGCGGTGGTACCGCAGGAGGCGCCTGGCAGCGCTGCGCCGCCTCCTCAGGCGTCGGTGCCACCCTGGGGATGGTGACCTCCGACGGCGGCCCGTCCAGATGGCCGTTGCGGGCGAGGCGAGGCCACCGCGGCCTCCAGCCTCCCGCGTACAGCCGCGCCGCCGCCCCAGCGGCCGCGCTCGCGCCTGGCGCGAAAGCCAGGGGCTGGGGGCTCCTGATCGCGGCGCGCCCCGCCGCGCCCCCGCGGGCAAACGGCTGCGGGGGGGCGAAGGGGGGCCGCACAGGAGCCACCTGGAGGAGGAGGAGGAGGAGGAGGAGGAGGAGGAGGAGGAGGAGGAGGAGGAGGAGGAGACTTGTGAGAAGCCCTCGCGCTTTCTGGGAAGCCTGCTGAGAGCCATTTCCAGCAGGTCCCTGTGCTGGGAATGGTACTCGTCGTGGAAGCGCCGTCGAGACCAAAAAGCCTTTCCCACGGCAGAGGCGGCTTCCCGGAGGGCACGAGGGCTCTGAGAGGCCCCTCCCGCCCTCTGAGAAGGTCCGCCCCGTCTCACTTCCCCCCGGGCGCGCTGAGATTGTGCCCCAGGTCCGCATCCAAGGGCGCCCTCGAGGACGCGAAGTTATTCGCGCTTCGCGCCTCGCAGTTCGGTTCCGATTCCTCCTCGCCCTCCTCTTCTCCCCTGGGAGGCGGCGCGAGAGCGCGAAGTTATTCGCGCAGCGCGAAGCGCGAAGTTGGGAGCCCTTGGCATCGCATCTCCGATGCATCGGCGATGCCTCGGCGGCGTCGGCGTGGAGAACATCAGGCTCCGCGTCGAGCCGCCTCGCCGAGGCGCCCCCCGACGCACCCCGGGGCCCCTGGAGCCCGCAGGCCCGCCCTCCGCGGCCGCCAGGAGGATCCCAGGCTGTGTCCTGAGGTGGCCCCCGGGGGGGCTCCCCTGCGCCGGAGAGGCACCGAGAGCGCGCAACACGATCTCTCGGAGGTGGACAGAACCCCCAACAGTGACACGTCGATTGGTGAATTGTCCGGTTTCGGTTTTCGAGAGGGCGCCGTGGCCGTTATTTTCCAGGTGTGCGCCCGCCAGGTTTGGGCCTCGGGTCGTTTTCACTAGACCACGTCTTGCTAAAGGGGGGTCTGTCCATCCCCGAATCTCTCGGCGACCGAGGTCGCGGGGAGGAGGCCCCCCACGCGCGGCGCGCGGGCCAGGGAGAGAGCGAGGGAGCCAGGCTGCGTGGCACGGCCGCGGCGGCGCGAAGGGCTCCGGCGCGGCGGGAGGCCCCAAGGCCTTCCGCGGGGAGGGGAGGGGGTGATCAGTGGGGGGCGAGGACAGGGGGGGGGATGAGGCTCAGGATACAAGGGCTCCCTCGAGGGCGCGAAGTTACTCGCGCTTCGCGCTTCGCGGTCCTCGTTTCTCCTCCCCCTCCTCCTCGTCCTCCTTTTCTCCCTTTGGGGGGGCGGCGCGAGGGCGCGAAGTTATTCGCGCTTCGCGGAGCGCGAAGCGCGAAGTTGGGAGCCCTAGAGGATAGGGGCGAGGGGGCAGGGGAGGTTAGGATAAGCCCACGATGGGGATACGGCTCAGGATAGGGGCAAGGGGCTCAGGATATGACAGGGGGATCAGGGGCAAGGAGAGGGGGGGGGATCAGGGGCAAGGATAGGGGTGCAAGGACAGGGGGGGGGGTCAGGGGCAAGGATAGGGGGGGGGATCAGGGGCAAGGATAGGGGAGGGAGAGGGATGGGCTTAGGGGGGGACGTTTCGGATTCGAGGTTATAGGTTTTCGGTCGTTGTTGTCAGTTCGCGGCGGCTTTCCAGCCTCGGGATGCGTTCCAGCAGCTGCGCCTCGCCGAGGGGGTTCTGGAGGTGCTGGAATCGTCCCAAACGGCTGCTGGAGGCCCGAGTTATGACCTGAAAATCATCGGGGGATGGGCTCAGCGGGAAAACATCGACCCCCAATCGCCCGCTGATCGCCGATAGCGGTCCGATGGGCCACCCCGCCCAGGAACGTGCGGATTTGTTACCGGGGCCTCATCGCCGATCTATCGGTCATGTATTTCCGATTCCAGCTTGACGTACACCTCCCTGATCTGGTCACCCCCCTTTAGCGTTGCCCCGCAGGGAGGAGGGGCGGCAAAGGAACCGCACGCAGCGGACAGAGAAGGAGGAAGGCTAACGGGACGCGCAGCAGGCTGCAACGTTAGGGGGGGTTATTAGGCCTAGGGGGCATGGCCTCGCTTCTCTCTTGTCCTCCGTTTGAGGGTTCGAGGCTCTCGGGAGTATCCAGACGTGCTCGCGTCGTGACAAAGATCAGGACGGGGGGCTGTTCGTTGTTTTCGGCCTCCTGGAGCCCCTGCCGGGCCTCGGGACCGTCCAAGAACGACTCGGGGTGAAAATCGGGTCCCGGGGAAAGGGTCGGGTCTTCCATCAGGGCGCCAGAAACGGCACAGCAAACAGGGGCACGGGGAACGCCGACTATGCTCCCGTTTAGGGGGCCCTGTGCGCCGTAGACGGGGGCACAGTAAACGGGGGCAGATGGAAAAGCCTAAGACCCCGTTTAGCTAAACCCCCTCTTACGAAGCCCCGATTCCAGGGACCCCGCATCTGGATAAAATCGTGACATCGCATGTCTGGGTTTTCGTCGGTTCCCGTCGGCCTCGGGATGCCTTCCAGCGGCGGTTGCGCCTCGCCAGGAGCGTTTCGGGGCTGCCTGTAACTTCCCGAGAGGCCGCCGGCAAGCCGAGTTATGAGCCGAAAGTTATCCGACGAGGATCACTTCGTGGGTGGACAGAATCCCACTCTGTCACGTCGATTGGTGAATTGTCCGTTTTCGGATCTCGAGAGGGCGCCGCGGCCGTCATTTTCCAGGCTTGCGCCCGCCAGGTTCGGGCTCGAGGTCGTTTTCACCAAACCACGTTTTGCTAAAGGGGGTCCATCCCCGATCACTGGGGGGATTCGGCTCAGGGGGGGACGCATCGACCAAACATGGCTTATTCATCGCCGACAGGGGGTCCCGATATCCCACCCCGCCCAGGAACGTGCGGTTTGACTATCGGGGGCTTGTGGACGATCTTTCCGCGATGCATCACCGATTCATGCTCGATGTTGTCCACCCCGATGCCACACAATATACACACAGACAACATCCAATGGATATTCCCTGGGCCTCAGGGGAGGGTGGCGGTCTATACATGCACTGAGAGCCATCGGCTTTTTACACCGCCGCCCTCCCTGAAGGTACATCCAAATTTCGTTGGAGGGTGCCTTCCGGTTTCAGATCATGGGAGCCGTGTGTACCCTCGCAATTCCGTCTTTAGACTGCCTTGGCGTCGATTAGCTGTTGGCAGTCGATAATTTATTGGCACGAATTTAGTGTCGATGAGCGTCGACTCTCGGTGACTTAGCGTCGACGAGCGTCGATTCGCAAGAGCGAGCAAGATGGTGTTGCCACCGAAGCGTCTGCATTGATGCTCCCCCTCCTCTCCTCACGTGCACCGTGGCATACTTTGCACCCAGCGCGCCCCTCTGGCGCCCCATCGCGGGAGCAGTTCACCTCTGCCCAGCCGCCGACGCAGAATACTTTGCGTTTGTAGACTCGTGGCGTGCCTGCGCCAGTTCCCCCCCTCACGTGCCCCTCTCGGGGCGGGGCGGGCGGGGGGGGCGCGACCAGGGGGGGGGATTTGCCCCCAGGCGCGAGGCGATTGGTGTTGTGAGGTTGTTGTTTACATCTGTGTGTAATTATACGTATATAGATAAAGCGCTCTCCTGCATGCACGGTGCCCCAAGGGGCGAAGCGATTGGTGTTATGAGGTTTTCGTTTACATCTGTGCGTCTACGTACGTAAATACAAAACGCGCTCCTGCCTGCATGTGGAAGATCTCCAGGAATGTCAAGAACGGTTGGGCCTCTCGGCGCCGCGGTGCCCCGTTCCGCCCCGAGAGGGTCGCGATGCGACGCGTAGGCGAGCGTCCCCCTGCGGATCCCATCGATAGAGCGGCGCGTAATCGGAGGCCTGGAGGTTGACACCAACAATATCGACGGTGTGCTCCCACCGAGGGAAGATAATCCCGATCCCGGTGATGGTGGTCATTTTCGCGCTTCTTGGGCGGCCGAATGATTACCACCAACACGAAAGCCCAGGAGCATCTTCCTCCCGTGGAGGCAACCCCTGGCGTTGGTGTTGGTGCGCACTTCCAAGTTTCCAACACACTGAACCATACACGTGGCTCATTGTTGCCAGTGTAGCGACAAGGAGTTGTCCGTGCGTGCCCAGCTTGGCCAGGGATCGACTATCACGCAGCCAGATACAGTGGAAACCCATGCCAAGAAACACCCTGCTCGCCTCCAGGGTGCCCTGGGTTTTTGGGTTTCGATGGTTTTGAAATGGAAAGCGTCACGTGCCCACACCAAAACTCAATGGACGTCCTGCGGTCACAGGGTTGGGTTTCTTGTGGAAGGTTTCTTGTGGTTGACCACCTACTGTACGCCCCCGCCTCGCACTCCCTCCCCCCTCGGATCATCTCCCCCTCGGCAGGCCCGGCTGTCCACGCTGGCAGTGACCACCGAGATCGACTCCTTCACCGAGGTGATCAAGGCGGGTGTCCACGCGCCGTGGAGGATGAAGAGGAGGAGGAGGGAGGATGAGGAGGAAGAGGAGGAGGACGAGGAGAACGACGACGACTACGACGACGAGGGAGAGGAGGAGATTGAGGTGGAGGAGAACAACGACGAGGAGGAGCACAAGGACGAGGAGGACGCGGAGGAGGAGAGGGTGGGACGGTCAGGAGGGAGGGATCAGGAGGGAGAAGGGGGAAGGGCAGAAAGAAGGGAGAGAAGAAGGAAGGAGGTAGGAGGGATGAGGATGAGGGGGAGCTTGGCGGGCAGCTTTGTTGAGCATGCATTTCCAGAGAATGGCTCATGTTGATCTCCCCCTGCTGTAGTATGCGTGTGCTTGAATTGAATTGCCCTCCCGAGGCTCGCACTCGACTTTCCATGAGGGGAAGCACTGGATTTCCAGACTGTGCCCCTGGCCCCCTGTTTACAGCAGCCGCGGTTCCCGCCCGATGCAACACATTTATAAATTTCGCTCTCGCCCGGGACTTCCTTGGAATCTGCTGTGGCATCGCGCTCGCGCGTGGGACGCCCTCGCAGTCTACTGAGACGTCGTGCCCTCGACCCACGGGGATCACGTGCTCGCCCCAGACCTCCGAGCCTCCTCATCATTCACTTGGCAATCCCAGACCCCCGACGTAATGATTGTTTCATTACGTCGTTCCCCCAGTCGTCCCGACCCGTTCCCCATGACCGGCTCTGCATCCTGAGTCGTTTCTTGACGCTCCCGAGGCCCGGTGAGGGCTCCCGGAGGCGGAAAATTGAGAAAAACCTTCCGTCCTGAGTTTTTCATCATTCGACGGGGGGTCTGGGATCGCGCTATCACTGGAAACTCCCTCGCGGTCACCACGCAGGACGCCAGGCCGACGCTGCCGCTCGACCCGGTCGCCTCTGGAGCAGCCCGTCCGGCCCGCCCCGTCGGGCTCCGCCTGCCCGACCCTTCGGGTTCTCCCGTTCGTGTCCTGCTGCTACAGCCGACCGGCACAGGAAGGATTGGCAACGTTCCCAAGTTCAGTATCGTTTGAACGATCCCCATCCCCATCCCCTGTCGGGCCTGTCCACCTACAGGAGGGATATTCCAAAGTAGTCCAAACATAGTCCGGGGACGATTTGTTGTTAGCATGTTTTGACCATTTTGGTGTATCTTTTGGCTACTTTTAGTTTGTCGTCCAGAATCCCCCTGTGGGGGGGCATGCCTGACCTAGTCTTACAGTCTGACCCGCATAGTAAGGACGGGCACCTTCCAAGGGTACTCTTGCATCCATGCCTCCTCGGCCCATCCTTGGCCACTTTCGTTGGCCGCGCTCCGCTCGACGAGCTCCGACGTGGGCGTCGCGAGGCCCTTGGATCCTCCTATCGCGCACCCTTCTGATGCGGGCCGGCTGTAATCCCCTTCCTGTTGCTCCACTTTTCGTAGTAAAGTGGGGGTGCACATTTGGGGGGGGCGGGTCTGATGTAAGCAGTCTTGAAGGGTTCAGTGGGTCGGGGCAAATTGGCAGCCTGTTCATGGCTGGCCTGGGGGTGTGGTCTCAAGTGGCCCGTCTGGGAGGGTTGTGACCCCCTTTTTTTTACGAGATTTAGGGCTCTCTTGCACCAAGGGTCGACCCATACGGTGTCTTGGCGATTTCGTGGGCCGTTTTCGTTTTCATTTCGTTTTGCAGCAAAGGTGGATTGAAGACGAAACGAGGGAAAACGAACACCCCACGAAAACGAAAATCACTGTTTAACTCGATCCTTGTCTTGCTCAGTCTTCTCCCTCCCTCATGCCCCGTCCTCGTCCCTCCCTTCCCGCAGTCCTTTCGTCCTCGCCAAATATCTTGTCCCGTCTCCTTGCTCTTCCTGTTTTACACAGTCGTTCGCCAACTCCACGTGGCGGATAGGGAGTACTGATTCGAGTGATGCAATCGAAGACGAAGGGGGCGTGAAGCGAGGGGCTGGGAATGCTGATTGGCACGCGACCAACTGAGAGTGGTTAGTCTGAAAGTTGCTGAGTGCTCACTCCTGAGAACAAGTATTGTGGAGCCCCCCTCCCCCGATAACATGTCTGCCGTAAAGTTGAAGTGGCCTTGTCGGGGCTGCCATCCTTTCTGGTACTAGGGAAAGTGCTGGGCCCCCAAGTTGTTTTGATGTATGTGGCTGGTGTCTTGGAAGCATCGCTGTCGTGTCCTGCCAGCGAACAGTCTCATCACATTCATTGCTTCTGCGGTTGCGCTGTGCTCCGTCGTTGGGCCTCCAGGATTCTCCCCGTGGCCACGGCCGGACTCCCTTTTTTTTCCCCCGGGGCCGGGAGCAGGAGCAGGGACGGGGGCCCCAGAACTCGGGGGCGGCAAAGAGGGCGGTGATGACTAGGGGGGAATGGATATCATGGCGGGGGCCATGATATTTCCCCAGATTTCATGGGCCCCTTTCTTATTCTACAGGCTTACGCCACATCCGCCGACCCCTTGTGTGACTGTTGCGAGGCCAGGAGTTTCTGGCCAGCGGCGTCTTGTGTGAGGGTGCGGTGTCGCGCGCGGGTGGTGGCAGATACGTAGGGGGTCCAAATGTTTGCGTGATGCCGGTGGTCTGGGGCGTGTTTTGCGAGCGCTTTGCGTGCTGTGCACCCGGGTGCGGGGTGTCCTTCTGGGAGGTCAGCCTTTCGACCCTCAACCAAGTGGAGGAGCACCGGAAGACGAAAGGAGCAAGAGTAGCGTGCAGAAGCTGTGATCAGCGAAGCATCACCGCGAAAGATGTGGCAGATGAGTCGAAACGGGTGAAGAGGCTGTTGACGTTCGCAGCGCGCACGAAACAGTTCGTGTGCGCGAAGTGTTTTAAAGCGGGACGAGCGCCGCGGAGAGACCCTCCGAAACGCCCGGCGGAACCAAGTGACGAGCATTGCGACAAGGCACGGAAGTTGCGAGGAATCTGACCGCTGGGGACGGGATGGATAAGGGGGACGTGGAGGAGGGAGGATGGGGGAGCAGCCAAAGGCGGAGAAGGTGAAAAGTGAGCCAGTGGAGGGAATACGAGACAGAAAGCTGAGAGGGGAGACGGGAGGAGGGGGCGGAAGAGGAGGATGAGAAGGAGCAGGAGAACACGACGAGGACGACAATGGCGGCGACAGACTCGACGGCGTAGGCTGGGCACCTTTTTGGGGCCATCTTGGGGGCTTCGTTGACCGTTGTGGGAGCCTCTGGCGCCGTCGTCGTGAGAATCCTCTCGGGGGCCTGCGGGAGGCAGTTTGGAGGCTTCTGGGGAGCTGTTTTGGGGCAGCTTGGGGCTTTTTTTGGGCTTGTTGGGGGCCTCTTGGGGGCTTCTTGGAGCCTCTTGGAGGCCTCTTGGGGCCTCCTTGGCGCCTTTTGGGGCGGAAGGCTAGAATTTTAGGTTCGTGGTCCCCGTCTGGAGCCTTTCTTGGGCCCCTCTGTGGGCCCTCTTGGACTGTCTGAAGGCCCTCTTGAGCCGTTTTGAGGCGCTCTTGGGCCGTGTTGGGGCCCACTTGGGAGCCTCTCGGGTCGTCTTGATGCCGTCTTGGGGGCTTCTTTCGCCGTCTTGGAGCGTCGGAAGCCCGAAAAAACGCGAAGGCCAAAAACGTTGAAAAAACCAATGGAAATCGACGATTTTGGCCTCTTGGGGCCATCTTGGGAGGCGTCTTGGAAGCTTCTTGGGGCGTCTTGGAGGCATCTGGGGCCATCTGGAGGCCATCTTGACCGTCTTCGAGTGTTTTTTCGGCGACTCGGGGCCCTCTTGGACCGTCTGCAGAGCTTCTTGGGAGCCTCTTCGCTCGTTTGCGGCCCCCCCAGCAGACTCTCTGGAGCGGATGACCCCCCCCGGACCGCGCCGGCGGATCCCGGGGAATCCGGCCGGACCCCCCCCCCCCCCCCTCCAAAACGACCGGACCAGGCTCCGGGGGGAGGGGTTTGGGGAGGGGGGAAGCATCTCACACGCCGATGACCCCAAGGGGTCGGCGGATTTCATTACGTTCCTGGCCCCCCCGCTGGGCCGCGCACATGCCGCCGGTCATGATTTGCACCCCTCCCTCATGGACACCCCCCTCTTGACCGCTCCCGACAAACGGGGTGGTGACCACACCGTGTGGTGAGTCGGTGGGGCTTCGGGGTCGCCGCACGGTTTTGGGACCCGGGTCGTTCTCCGAGGACGTCTCGGGCGACGGGGGCATCCGAGGTTCCAAAACCGCGCGTTGACGGACCGTGCGGTGAGGTCTTGGGGGATTTCGAGGTCACCGCACGGTCTGTCACCGCACCGTTTCGGGACTCCAAAGGAGAGATGAAGGGACCAAGGGTGGAGTGAGCAGGAGGGAGTTGATCCAGGCCTCCCAGATGGGGTCGGAGTAGACGGAATCGGAGGATCGCGCCGCATCGCCGATGCATCGCCGATGAGGCTCGATGTTGAGCCCGACTTGCTCCACGTCGACGTCGCCGCTGTATCGCCGACGCCGACGATGCATCGCCGGTACATCGCCGATGCATCACCGATGCATCTGCGATATGGCGCGATCCTCCAACCACATTTACTCCGACCCCATCCAGGAGGCCTCTAGTGGAGGAGGAGGGCAGATGGGGAGCAGTGAGAACGAGGAGCATGTGCAGGAGCAGGGCGGAGAGATGGATGGTGTGATGCAGTGGTGGAGGGAGGAACGTGTCGAAGAAGACAAGTCCGCGCGGATGCCTTGGATCGGCGCTGGGCCTCCCTGTCGGCGCCTCTGGCGCCGCACCTGGCGCGCTCCGCGCGCCAGGGAGGGGTGTCCGGCGCAGAGCGCAGAAATCCGCGCGGAACGTGGAAAGCGTAGGTTTGTGCCTCTCTTTTTTTTTCCTCCTTTGGAGACCGAGGGGGAGCGGAAGGGAGAGGAGGAGCATCAGCGGAAGTCGGAGGGAGCAGGAGCAGGAGCCGGTGCAGGTTCGTGCTGCCGCCTCTTCCTCCCTCTAGAGAGGGAGGGCGAGGGGAAGCGAGAGGGAGCAGGGCGCGGCAGGGCGAGGAGCGAGGGGGGAGGAGGCACGGAGGAGGGGCGCGGAGGGTGGCCCGGGAGCCCCCTTGGAAGGACGGCCCCCCCCCCCTCCGCCCGGTTCTGTCCCCTTCGCCCCCTTCTCGCTCCTGGGGGGGGAAGTGAAGTGAGGAGGACACGGCCTCCTCGGGAGGCGGCGGGGCTCGTAAGAAACCCTCGCGCCTTCTGGGAAGGCCGGTGCGCCCGTCGTCGGGGCAGGCCGGGGGGGCTTCTGAGCCCCCGGAGAGCGCTGAGCAGTGGCGAGGCGTCCTGGCTCGCCTATAGGCCCACCAAGGAATGTTCAAAGAACCTCTTGAGGTTTACACCAAATGCTCTTAGACCATGTCTGGTTGAGACCGTCTTGTCTTCACCCGCGGGGTTGATGTTCTAGCACACTATCGGGTTCGAAGAGCACTTCGTGGTGGAACTAGGAATGCCGGAGCGGTCGGCCCCTGCTCAAAGAACGCCCGTCCCTGCTCGCTCCCCCCACCCCCCCGAGCTCGCCGCCGAGTCTCGCCCCTCTCTCCCTGGCACGCGCGGGGGTCGCCTCCGACGCTGCCCTGACGATCGGGCCTGTCGGCGGGGTGCCCTCTCGGCCAGCTCGGGGGGCCTCCACGCCGCTGCGCTGGCCCGGCAGGCGATGGACAAGATGATGGTGGACCTCAAGGCGTGCGTCGGGAGGAGGAGGAGGAGGAGGAGGAGGAGGAGGAGGAGGAGGAGGAGGAGGAGGGGCAGGAGGAGGGGCAGGAGGAGGAGGAGGAGGAGGAGGAGGAGGAGGAGGAGGAGGGGGAGCCGAATCAGAGGAGGGCGAACTTCACAGGGGAGGCCCATGCCAAGTAACACCCCGCTCGCCTCCAGGGTGCCCTGGATGTTTTGCCGTGGAAGGCGTGACGCTCCCACGCCAAAAACCAATGGACGTCCTGGGGTCTCAGGGTTGGAGTCCTTGTGGAAGGTTTCTCCTGTGGACTGGCCTCCACTGCAAGGTGTTCTTGCGCTTTCCTTGATTTTCGGCGCCTTCCCAGCCTCGGGGACCACCTCCTCGATCCATTTTCGCGTACCTTGGCAGGCGGTGGATCTGGACATTTTCGGGCCCCACATACATACATAGATACATACATACATACATACATACATACATACATACGTACGTACGTACGTACGTACGTACGCACGTACATACATACATACATACATACATACATACATACATACATACATACATACATACATACATACATACATACATACATACATACATACATACATACATACATACATACATACATACATACACATGTGTATATATATATATATACACATACATATCAGTATCCACCGCCCGCTGAGGCACCAGCACGTCGGTTCCCAGGCGGTGGATATGGAGAAACCCATGCCTCGCATTCCAGCCGCTGCGCCGCCCCGAGGGCGTGCCCCGGCTCGTCCCAAGCGGCCGCCCGAGCGCCGAATTGAGTTGTGATCCGGAGGGGGGGGGCTCCTCGGCGGGCGGGGGGGCACGTCTCGCATGACGACATTTGGCCTTCGGAGGAGTATCGAGGAAGAGGAGGATCCAGGAGGAGGAGGAGGAGGATCGGCGAATAGGAGGAGGAGGAGGAGGAGGAGGAGGAGGAGGATCGAGGAGGAGGATCGGAGAAGAGGAGGAGGAGGAGGAGGAGGAGGAGGAGGGGGAGGAGAAGGAGGAAATCAGAATTTGGCCTTCGGAGGGGCGGTGTTCGCTTCGCTTCCTCCGATTCTAGTCGACTCAAGTCCGATGGTCTCCGAGTCCAATTCGGTTCGAGCTCGGACTCTGTTTCGGATTCCGGTGTGAGGCCTGCTCGCCCGCCGATGTCCGCCGACTTGATTTCTTCCGAGTCGACTTCCGATTTCCGCCGAGTTGATTCTTTTCGATCGACGATCCGATTCGACTCTAAACTCTCCTGGAGGGCCCCCCTGGTCGACACGACTGGACGCAGCTCCGAAAACTGGTGCGTCCTCGGAGGAGGACAAGGCACCCATAACGCCACCCTTTTCTCGTTTTTCGCTTTTTGGGGCAAAACACTACGCAGTTTTGTTCGTTGTCACAAAAACGCGTGCCTAGCGGCGTTTCTCCGTCCTCCCCCCCCGCCGCGGGCACCGCGAATCGCCGCGCGGCGCCCGCGGGGGGGGGGGGGGGGGGCGGGGGGGGCGGTTGGGTAAGAGGTTGGAAGAGGGGGGCGCGCTCAGGTCCTCGTGTACTTCGCGTTCTGGGTTTTGGTCCCCTTCATGACTTTCTCCCCGCGGTGTGGGGGGGGTAAACATCCCCCGCGCACGACGCGCGGCGCAGGGGCGCGCAACGGCCAATCGCGAGGCCTGCGCGCTCCGCGCGGCTTGCCGCCGTAGCGGCGTTCTCCTTTTTCAGCCAAGAGAGCCCAACGCGGCCAAGAGTGCCTCACGCGGCCTAGAGTGCCAAGCGCGGCTTGAAGCGCCAAACGCGGCCAAGGGTGCCAAACGCGGCCTAGAGTGCCAAGCGCGGCCAAGTGCGCCAAACGCGGCCAACGGTGCCAAACGCGGCCACGAGTACCTCACGCGGCCAAGAGTGCCTAACGCGGCCTGGACTGCCAAGCGCGGCCTAAAGTGCCGAACGCGGCCAGGAGTGCCAAGCGCGGACAAGGGTGCTAAACGCAGCGAAACGTGCACGACGCGGCCAAGAGTGCCAAACGCAGCCAGGGGCGCCAAAACGCGGCCAAGAGTGCTTACAGTGGCCAGGCGTGCCAAGCGCGGCCTGAAGTGCCAAACGCGGCCAGGAGTGCCAAACGCGGCCTAGAGTGCCAAACGCGGCCAAGAGTGCCAAACGCGGCCAGGAGTGCCAAACGCGGCCTAGAGTGCCTCACGCGGCCACGAGTGCCTAACGCGGCCTGGACTGTCAAGCGACCGTGCGTCGACCGTTCGGTGTCTTCGTGACCCTCACATTGCCTTCGTGGTCTTCCTCTTCGCCTGGGCCCCTCCTCACCATCCGGTGGCGCAGCGTTGCTCGTCGCCTTCATGGTGGACTTCCCTCCCTGGACATCGACCTGGTCGCGTTCATCCTCGCGCAGCACTTCAGGGTGGCGTTTGCGACGCGCCGTTGACGGCAACGCCTCACCGCTCACCCTCCGGATCTTCGCCTCCGGCTCCTGTCCAAGGCGTTCTTTTTCCTGTGCAAGCTCCTCAGCACCGCCTGCGCCCCGGCCCGCCCTCCGGCCGCCTGAGGCCCCGCCCGCCTGCGCTCTGTCTCCCCAGGCAGCGCTTTGCCTCGCCCGCCGAGCTTGTAACCGGAAGAGGTTCGCTCTCGACCCGCAGACCCAAAAAGTGTTTTCGTGACCCTGTCCAGACGATCGCATCGACACGACCAAACTAAGCCATCGTGGCTACGACTCCGCTCAATGCGAACGCGTCGCCGAACTCGAGCGCACGGCAACGCGCGGCGCGGTTCCGCGCAAGCGCGGGCAGTTCCGCGGACAGAAGTCGCGGCGGGCGCGCGCCGTCGCGGCAGATGCGGCGCGCGGCAAGATGGCCGTTGAGACGCCCAACCTGGGCATGTCTTTGATTGAATTCCTGGCATCTCATGGCGATGCCAAACGCGGCGGAGAGTGGATTGCGGATTCCGCTCGCGTTTGCCAGGCGACGCGCCCGCCCGCGGGCGCGGCGATGGCGCGCCTGCTCGTTTGCAGAGGAGAACGAGCTCACGCCCGCTCGCGATTTGGCTTTCGTAGCCGCGGAGTCGCCGACGGGCGATCGGATCGCAGGCAAGCGGCCCTTCCTCGCCAGGGTAATGTCCGACGCGAAGACCTTGCTCGAGGAGGGGCGGCGCGCGTCGGGTTCGGCTTCCGCTGCCAGCGCGCCCCGCGGCGGGGCTGAGGTCTCACGTCGACTTACAGGGGGCGTTGAAGAGCGGCCCCCTCATGGACTTGAGCCATCCATTCTGGCCGCGTTCCGCGGCGGTGGACGCATTAGACGACGAAGTGAAGAAGTTGCTGCGCCTCGGCGTCAAGCGCCCGTTCGCCCATTCAGACTTACAGAAATTCTTGCCCACGTGGACAGGGGTGAGGCGCGAAGGATGCAACGGGGGACGAGGGCGCCGTCAGCTCGGTCAAATCCAGATCGCTGGCCTTCTCGCAATGGCATTCAGCGTTCGAGATGTGCGCGACAACTTGCTTGCGCCGCCCGCGCAAGTAAGCGCGTCTTTCGCCTGCGCGCAGGTGCGCCTTGGCCTGCGTCTGCACCGGTCAGATGCCGTTCGCCGCAACGGTCAGCCACCGCCAGATTGTCCTCGAGGCTCGCGAATCGCCGAGCGCAAAAGGGGTCGCGCGACGCGTGCGTTCTGCGCGCGGCCCGCGCCGGGTGGCCGCGCAGGCGCCGCGGGCCAATCGGGGCGGCCAGCTGGCGCTCGCGCATGATGAGCTCTGCCGGCGCAGCTGGGCTGAGAGGTCCCTTGCGGGCGGCAGTGCGTTCAACATGGAGGCAGCCGTCACTGCAGTGGATACGACTTTGCTCCAGACAGCGGAAGCTGAGCACGACAGAGGCGCGAAGGAGCGCGCGGCATTCCGCGGGGGCAAAGGCGGCGCCAAAGGCGGCATGGGCAACGGAAACAGCGCAAAGGGCGCCAGCGATGGCAATGCTTGTGCCGCGCCCAGGGGCGATCGCGGTGACTGCGAAGAGCCGCGGGCTAAGAGGGCCAGATATCAGGCGCGCTGACTTGACGCGCGGCGCCCGACAGGCGCCGCGCCCCCCGCGCGCGCGCGCGACCTCGGCCCCAGTCTATTTTCCAGGCGTTGCCCAGAGCCCACAGGTTGCATTTGAATGCCGCGGGGGCGAGGTTGTCGAGCTCATCGCAGGTTTCCCTGCGGAGCTTGAGGCCCCCCGCGCGGCGCGTCCAAACGATCGTCGCGCGCGCCGGCGCTGCGTTTCTAAAGGCCGCCAATTCGGCGGGGGTGCGCGCCGCGCCGCCTGCGCCGGCAGCATTGCCGGGAAGTCGCGCCCGCGCGGGCCCGCCCGCGACGGGCGGGTTCGCGAACATTTGAAAGGCGACGCCACGGTCGAGCCGCGGGTCGAGGCGGGCGAGCGCCGCGGCCCGTCGCGCGGCAGGCAAGCTCGTCACGGGCGACGAGAAGAATATTGAATTTATTACCAATCCACTCAAATATGGTTTTCCTACCGCGCCTTCCCGGGGCATCGGGGATAACGCGGAGCGCCATTGAATGGGAGCCGCCCATGGGATGCGCTGGAGCAGCGCGCCACCGAGACAACATGGGACCAAGCGCTCCGCCAGGACGGATCATAGCAACGCTGGTTCGATGGCGCGGGCGAAGCGACGAGAGCCATCTCCGACGGCGTCAACGGGCCGCTTTTGGCCGAGTTGCTCGACAACGAGCAGCGGCGACCCGGGCGCGGCTGACTTGTTTCGCATCGGCGCGCCCCACCTCGGCAAGTTGCCCCGCGCGGGGGGCGGCCCCGCGAAGGCTTTCTCCGAGCCCATCTCTGCCGAGACCTTGCGGGATTTGTCCGCAGCTCGCAACATATATTGTTTCGTCTCTAAGGAGGGATGCGATCTCCTCGGCGCTGCGCGATGGCGCGCTTGCCGTCGCAGCCATGTCGCGGATGGCGTCTCCGGTTCTCGTAGCCGGACGTAAAAGAGGATGGGGTGCCAAAAATCC